TATTTATATTTTTGGAAGATTTGATAATGAAAATTATATTAAAATATGTCTAATATTTTAGATTTACGCGTACCTATATCTTTTCTTTAACTTAGTGACAATAACCCGTTTCGATGTTCCAAACTGTAGGATAAAATAGAGAGTTAGGCGATCGCCTCTAATTCTATAATCGATCACATCAAGGTTAAAATCATAAAATAAGAGGAGACACAGTAAACACTATTATATCATACAACATAAAAGTTGTTTTCCAGTTGTTCTTAATAATAATAATAAATATGAGTATTCTTTACATTATTATAGGTAATATTCATGAGGAATATTCTTAAACTTTAAAAGCTTTGAACAAATAAATAGTGTTTATAAGAATAAAAATGCTACTAATTCTAGCAAAATGATATATGTATACATTAGATAAGAGACAAAATACAGCAATGGATGTCACTTTCTTTATAAATACTATTTTATAATTTTCAATAGGCGACACCAAAGAGGGCGGTCTTGAAAATCCTTAGAGACTAAAAAGGGTGAACATTTTTACGCTCTTCTTGTTTTCTAGAGAGTTTGACAATGGACTGGAAAAATATAAATGGTATTTTTTATACAATGTTTAGAGTTCCATTGTTAACACATAAACGATTGGAAATCAATAAATTCCTATACAATATAAAGTATATAATATAATTTATCATATTTTATGTATAAAGGTGCCTATATAATATCGATGGTTGAAATATTTTGAAAAGAACAAAAGATTCTATGATAAATATTATAATAATTGTAAACGTTAATTGTGTGTATTATGCGGGAAGAAAATATCGGATATCTATGTTTATAAGAATAATTTCATAATTATATCTCCTTGCGTATTTTTTTATTAATATATAAAATGAACTAAAAATCATAAAATCAGGATTAATAAATGTACCTTTAACATAAATAACTGTAGTATTAACCATGTGATACAATGAGATGCCTTTAATATCTGAATCACACCACTGAAAACATATTGCGCTCGCTTAAAATTTAAGGTACCTCTAATAAGCTACTTCAGATACTTAAATAATTAAGATTTCAATTAGTTCCGGGTACTAGATATATATATTATAGAGGCCTTGGGTAATTTGTATTTTTAAATTTAATTTCATATGTACAATATAATATAGTCACATTTTAGATAAAGGATTTTCACCCGAATTAACCTATGGGAAATTGGGACACTAAACCAGAAACCTTAAATAATTCAAAATGTATAAACAGTTTATAATAAACTAATACAACCCGAATGGTTTTGAGAAACTAAATAGTTAAATTAACCAAAACCTGAGTCTCGAATAACATATTGTGTACTGATATACCTACTGCTAACGGCTAATAAATAGATATATAACTTAAAAATTAACACGACCTAACACGATTTTTATAATGTGATGTTCCTCGACAATGAAGAATTATTGTCTGTTTATTAATATAAATAAAATATATATATATATATACTAAATATAAGACCTCAATGGTTACACTCACGCTTTTACCCAAGACCGTTCCCCCATAAGGAGATCCGACTTACATATAGTAATTATTGGTGAATTTTACAATTTATATTAGAATACTTGAATTTTTTTTTATTTTTTACATGAAATTATAATATTAAATCAAATTTCTTCATATATTGTTATCATAAACACGTATTCAAGGTCATAGAATTTTTAGAGAATATAATATAATATTAAAATGTATAATTATTATTGATTCATATATATGTATATATATATATAAATTTATAATAAATATTCTATGCTCAATCGTCTTGCTATAAAGGTATATCCTCAATCATTTTATGCTTAATTATACTTCTACCGGGTCGTATAAATAATTACTATAAGCATTTAATGAATCAACAGTGATCTAATAGAATATTATTATAATATATATTATATTATGTACATCAATGACATCATGGTAATCATGGGCGCAACTAGGGGGGGGCTTGGGAGTGCTTAGCACTCCCAAATTTTCTGTACCGATTTTTTACATTATCGGTGACAGTAGCACTTCTGATTTTAAAACAAGGGGGGGGGGTTCTCGTATTGTGCTTTAGATTTTAGCATTCCCATAAATTTTACCCTAGTTGCGCCCATGATGGTAATATAGCCTGCAGTGAATGTAAGAAGATTTTTCATCACCTTACTAGTTTCTATTTTTTTTTTTTTATTGCTGTCGATTGCATACCATATCCTAAAATTATATACGATTTGAAAACTCAAGGAATTTTGATTTTTATAATTTAAACTTAAAAAGATTTAGTGCCATATATGCGTGTGTGTGTTCGTGGACTGAAGCACCTAAGTAGGTATATGTTTACTGAATCAAATTCATCAAATTGAAATTATAGTTATAAATGTTATAATATAATATATATTACATGTATAATACCTAGTGTCAAAGTCATATACCAGTTTTACCGGCAGAACCTATCTGATGATAGAACTTTTAATATAAAAAGGTCAACGTTAAAATGAATATTTAAAGTATATTTAAAAAGCATCTGGTTATTAATATAAAATATCTTTAAAATTCAAGTAAACAGTTGTCTTATTATAAATTATAAATTTTAACATGGAAAGACGTCACAAAACCCGTTTTTTCATCATTAATAATATCCACCTACTTATTTCGTCCTAAAAATTTTCACCGTTTTTTTGTATAAATTTAACTATAAAATAAAATAGTTAAGGTTAGTAAATTAATTATGGGGTATTATGGCTTATAAATGTAAGTATCGCTTTTGTTTATTCTACGAGTTCTATGTAGTTCTATGTTATTCATATTTTCATCAATGAAGTATTTAGAATTTTTTTTTTTGAGGGGTGGGGGGTTGGGGGAGGTAGGTTGTATTTATCCAGAGCTTAGTGACTTAAGAAAAATAGGGGGTGGACATTTGATATTGACATATTTCATTGGTAGTACTTGCACGATGAAAAAGAAAACTTATTTTATTTTATTTATTTTTCACATCGACATCAAAGACTATAGGATTTATATGATCGCGAGGTTGTGGCATAGTATGCGCGTTTGAATATCTGAATAACACTCTTAAATCTTATCGGATCGCGTGTTATATTACCATAACTGAACACAATAACAATAATAGTTCCTATAATAATGGTGATCACTTGCACTCTACACGCACAATACTGCAGCCTACAGACAATTCCAAACACATAATTGTTGATTAAACACGGAATTTTAAATGTTTTCTAAACGCGCTCGCGATACAGATGACTGATTATTACTGTGGTGCATTTTATGTACGATATTATATAATAATAATATAAATACTAAGTAGTAAAGTATAATACGCTGTCTACTTGCACCCCAAATGTATAAGAACCAGTAACTTGCGTTGGAATCTTAATGCAAAATAGTCCAGATGTAATTTAACCTAAGTTATTTACGTTGGTACTTTGTGTAATCTTTATTTATTTTACGATTTTCCAAATATATAACTGCAATGCCGGGCAATGGGCATCAATGATTTGCATTCATTTTTTATTTTTATATACTTATTTATATTATATAATACACATCGATGAGTATGACGGTACACTGATGCATATGTTTATTGCAGTAAAATACTAAGACCAAAAGTCGGAGTAGAGGATTACACGTTGGAAATTGTACAAAGAACCTACACGGTACACATGCAATATGTCGGTCTATCGTCTACGAAAACTATACGTATAACTGGAGATTATTTTCACGATAGATTTTTTTTCAAACCAGACGACTTTAACAAAACCTCTAGTTTGCCAAAAATATAACTCTGGAGAGAAGATGGCCCATGCGATGCGTTGTGGTAAATCAAAGTTTCTACTTATTACCCATTTTATGAATATTTTATTATTCTATGGTCATGAATTGAATTTTTTCATTAATTGTATATATTATAATAGATATTTATATAAAAGTTTTTTTTTTTTTATTATTATTATTAGCCTTCAGTCATCGACTATTATGGCACAACAATATTACAATATAAATATGGCATATAAAATTAATGATGTTATGGTTAGCCGTTACGCCGTGTCCTACGTGAATCCTGGTCAGTGCGGCGAGTGCGAACGAATTCTATTCTGACTATGCTGTTCCGCGCAGTGCGGTGCATCCGATGCGTCGAAATACAAGCTGTTAATAACAATTGTTTTAATGTTTTTCGCCGCACTCGCCGGATTCACGTAGGCACGGCGTTAGCCTATACAAAATGTGTACAATATAGATGAGATAACAAATTATATAAATAAACTAAAGTAATGTAGATAATTAAATTGTAGATATAGTCTGATAAACAATAAAAAAATAAATAGGAGAAAAACAAAAACCCAATCGCTACGGTCAGAAACGTTTGTTAACGATCTCCGTAAGGAGATTGATTAGTGGGGTAATTAAAGAGTTAAAATTGGAAATAAATTCAGATAAAACATTTGAGACGGAATCCGTGGAAGAAGAAATCGTTTTGGTCGTTGCAGCAGCAGCATAGGATTTCCTTGGAAGCTGCCGAGCATGTAAAAGTTATTATTTATATTATTTGTTGTTGTAATTATGTATAGTATTGTTATGAATGTATATTATTATATGATCATATTAGTTTATAATAAATTATAAATACATTAAGAAAAAAACGTTATATTTATTATGTTGTTATTAATAATTTAATTTTACATAAATTGCGATAATATAGTACCTATTAACTTTTATACTGGTAATGTGTTAAAAAGAATACAAATTTATTTAAATACATTCTTACTACAACTAATATATTTTTAAATTAAAAATGATCGTATGCACTTAGATTCTTTTAACAACCTATTACAATTTTACTTTATTTAAATCAATAAACTTATGCAGCTTATACAGAGTGAGTTGGTTAATAAAAAATAAAAAAACGGTGAGAATAATTCGTAAACTGAAATAAATTATAAAACGAAATATTAACTAACCTTTTGGACGCGGCCGGTCGTTTACTCTCGTGCGTGGCCGGTAGCACGGCGTCAATGATGACGCTCGACGCAATGCTGCCCGCGCTGTCCTCTTTGACCATTGTTCGCCGTACGGGTGGGCAGGGCAAGGCACCGAACCCCTCACGCGGTTGGTGTCCATCCAGCTGCTGCAAGTTGAATGCGACACTGGGCGTCGGCCGGTTGAACCGGTGGTACGCCGTGGCCGCAGACGACTTGTGTTCCAGAGTCAGCCGGCTGGGCACCGTTGGCGGCTTGTCGCTAATGGATGGCGCCATGTACGACAGCATAATACAGCCGACGGGCATTCACCACCGGCAGGTCGCAGTTTGATGCGTGCGGCTGCAGCTGCAAGTCGTCGTCGGGCAGCAGGAAACTGCAGTCTGCTGCAAACAGTCACCAAACACACACCATATGATTGTTGTATTATTATTAAACATATTCTAATAAATTCGAACAACCGAGTGGTACCTATAGAGCATTAGAGCATAATAGATATAATATGACGTGCAGTTATAGGTATTATAATTATATGTATATAAAAATATGTAATATACAATTGTGACAAGTTGTGAGGTTGTGACATTACCTGAGGGTATCGTCTATCTGCTTATATGAAAAATTTTAAATTATAGTGTAAGTTAATATTCTACATTATTATATTATGTAATATACGACGTGAGTTGAGTATTATATATACAATAATATGCATATTAAATTATGCATGTATCTATACATAAGAATTACTATAGTTTATAAATGCATGGTAGTCTTAAGATTTAAGATATTAAATTATATTGTAATACGATACATAAAATATGTATACCACCGTCACAGCATTTTGTTTCATTCAAAACTTTTAAAAACTTTTCTTTTTTTTAAAAAATTAGATAGTAAAATATTTTTTTTAATTGTTTAGGTTCAAACAGCTATTATAGAGCCTAACTTGGTTACAAGCTTACAGCATATCCTATATTTTGTGCGAAGAATTATAGTAGCGCGTAATATTTATACCATATCATATATGAACCCAACACATCGTTCAGGTCATAATAATATAAGTGGCATTTAGATGGACGAGGGTCCATCTGGCGGATGCAAACATTTTATTTTGCTCCCCTTCCCTAAAAATCAAAAATAAATTTGAATCTTATATATGTATGATGCTTTAGTTTCATAATATTTTTTTTTCTAAACATCTAAATATATTTAAAAAACTTGGTTGAATATTATCATACCATATCTATATGTTTTATAATCTCATAAAGTATCTACATCTTATTAGTTATTATATCCTTACATACAGTAATGTCTTAATAAACAGAATTTAAAACAATAATTTCTTGTATTTGGTAATTTATATTAAGAATAATAATATTATCTATTACCAGACACCAGATATTGTTTATTTAGGTAGACCTACTATTTTTCATTTCAGAAGTTATAAGTAGAAATAAAGATTATATATAATTATAGACCAAATTTATAAGTACTCAAAACCTTAAAAATAAGATATTTTTATGCTTTATAATTTCATAAAAATAAACTTTTATTTCCATAAATATATTTTTTATTTTTTAAATATGATTGAAAAGAGTACAGTCATCAAAATTATAAGAGACAATTCAATTAATTGAATTAATCACAATCTTCAAACAATTATTAAAACAATCATATTAAGTGATAGTTGGGGTCTGATCGATCTTTCCTGTTTCCAGATGCGCTTCCCTCAAAGCTCAACGACGACTCCACCTCGACCCAAATCCACGTCAAGTATTGTCCTCCCAGAATTGATTTAATTACCAATGTTATTATGTTCATATAAATATTGCTTTATACCTTTTCGTCTTAATAATGGTTGAAACTAACGGAGGTCAGAAATATATTTGCATTTATTTATGTCATTACATATTTTATGAATTAATAATCAAATTAAATCACGGTATGGTAATATATATTCTTAAAATATATTATTTTTCCCAAAATATTCTTTAACATTGAAATATGCTTTTAATGTATTAATAATTTCGTATATCAACTTATAAGAAGATTAATCGTCAAAAAAGCTTATCCAATCGGAGCTATATAAATATGAAAATCCGTTATTTATACATAAATATAATTTTATAGCTATAGTCAATCAGTTTTAAACATTTACTATACCTAATTAAGCAAATTACATTTTTTTGCAGGACTACAAAGACATCAGCAATGAGTTGTGCTGAATTGTTAAATGTTATTTGCCATACGATTGTCTATAAACTGTATAAACGTTCATATTATATTTATATATAATTTTGTAATGTTTGATAGTCATATTTGACATCAAAGTGTTCCAAAATTCATGTAATGATGAAAACGTATTGTTACTTCATGCTTTACAATTGTGTATACTATATGCTATGCTTATTAAAAATCATCATTGTATACAAGTTTTGTGAAATTTTCCGACAAACTCAATTAAAAATAGTTATTGTACATTAGTACATTACATTAGATTCATAATACTTGCAACTGAATATAATAAAACGACGACGACTACTAGCAATACAATACAAAAGATTAAACCCAAGAATCCTATGTATAATGGTAGGTATAATCTTACATACATAATGGATCTTGCTGGTCACTGACAGTATAATACTATACTAGGTACATAATACATCTTGTGCACTAAAAAACATCCCTATATACAAAAACGATCATTCTCTGCGAATATCTCGGTGGAGTTTCTATTCTTTCTGTAAACCTTCATAGCTTATTTTAACACATTAACTATATATTATGCTGCGTATTACTTCATATAAGCTTCTAATACATCAAGCATAAACGAGTTTTAGGTCCGCATATAAAGTCTGTGTGAGGAAATATTAATCTCAGATCTWAGAACATACAGGCATAGGCATATCAGCCATTGTTAAAATCTTAAAATTATTCCGACATGGTATATTTATCATTAATGCTGAATTAGTTGAAGTTAATCAAGCATTAGATCAACCCCGACGCGTGATAGACAGTTTTCGATAAATTGTTCATCACGATGGGGATCGACATCACGTAATTCACCCCATAAATTTGTTTCAAGGCTAAGTAAAAATTATTACAACGTCATGTTTGACTGTCGGAAGTATATAAAAGTTATATTTATGGCGTTGCCACGATTGAAGGTCTTTTTGTATACTAAAAATAGCTTATTTTTGAATAGGTCTACAAAACAAGTCTACTTCAAAAATAGTCACAAATAAAAATATCCACTACTACATTAATGTCCAGCGAAAATACATTTTATTAAACTCATTAAAAAATGTTTCATCGTGGTTTATACTTGATTATGTTATATTCAAGCAAATTTACATAGCGACCAATTTTTTAATGAATACTTTTAAAATACATATAGGGTATTCAAATACTTTTATAATATATATATATATATTATTTAAAATGGTATTCTAGTTAAAACAAAATTTAATACTTAACAAGATTTGTAGCCAGATATTTTTTTGTGGGGAAGGGCTGGTTAATTTTWCATAATGGTGGTTTACCTAGGTTCTTCCATAWGCTTCTTCTTAACACGTAAAAAAATTAAAAAAATAGCAATGAGTTTTCCTTTTATATTTAAAAAATACAATTTAAAACTTCAAAATTAAAATAAACAATATAAGATTAATAATGAAAATTATACAAATTTGAGAGMATTAATATAGTTATCGCCTCAAAATGAATCACCCTTTAATTGCCAAAGAGAAGGAAAATAATGTTTAAATGTAATTCAAAATATATAATAACAGGCAATAGTTAGTACCTAGAGACTTTTTATGTACATCTATTATATGAGTATTTAGGTTGAATATTAATAGAGGTATAGAAAACGAAAACAAATAGTTTATAAACATTAAAAATACTGTCTTATTTAACCATGGTAAGTATAGACCTACATACATACTATAGACCATTTTTTTATTTTGGGACTTAAGACATCTAGAGATCTAAACCATGTAAYGTTGCCACTACGCCTGGGCATCAAATAACACAATGTTAGGTATATAGTTTTTTTCACTCTTTCATTACAGTACCGAACTTACCTAAATTATATTATATACTCCTAGAAAAATATTAAACTTTGTTGAAAATAAATTCKTCATAGTCAGTATAGCAATAATATTTGATAATACTTATTTGAAAAGTGTCTAATAATATAGTACCTAATATAATGTTTATTGCCGACTACATATATACGTAATATTATAATAGAGTTGAATAATTATTTCAAATATACAGTAGAGTTGATTAGGTCTAACTCCATGTACCAACTATATTTGAAAAAACTCTCGAATACTATTATGTATTGTGTTATAAATCGAGTATACTCCCACGCACGAGTATTTATCGCGTGTAAAAATATTAAACAAGTTCAATCGAAATAATAGCTCTCAGCTCTCAGCTCTCAGCGTCTCGGTCGCGAGCTTAGGAACGCGAATAACATTACTTAGATCAGGGTGGTCCAACCCGCGGCCCGCGAAGCTTTTTTTTTGGCACCTCCAACAATTTAAAATTTAAATTTTAAATCACAATAATATTATAACAAAATCGTAATAAGAAGATATATAATTTATACCATCTTATTACGAATTGATACATTAAATTTTACATTTTATTGTTATATACGGCGGGAGTTCCGTGTGTCGATCATATCGCGATAAAACACGATGAACGGCGTGAATGCTATTCACAATCACACAATTGCGAGCATTAAATATTTCTCTAAATTAAATCTAAATCTAATCAGTAATCATTAACCAGTCGACCCCGTGTGTTAAAAACAATGTCAATCATCACATAAATAGTTGTTTTTTTTATTGTTATAAGGCATTCCTAGCCTAATTTATTTTTTTAGTAATTTTTTGATAATTTTAAACATGAAAACATTAAATAATAATAATAATTAATAATTTGTGCATTATATAAAATAAAATATAAATAGGTAATAATATAATTTTTTCTTCTGGCGGCCCCCGGTGTTTTTATGAAAGTGTAAATTAGCCCGCCAACTACAAAAGGTTGGACCACCCTGACTTAGATTATTGCACATATTATTTTATTCGATCGTCTTTTTTACTCTACCTTATATAACTCTTTAATTGAACAATTCGACCACAATAATACATAATATACCTATGTCTAATATATTGGACTGCACGGCTCGCCCACTCAATAATTATACTTGGTCACGTATGCGCGCCCATAAYACTACCTATAACATAATAAACACATACATACATACATATCACTATGGTGGTCTATAATATGCACTAAACTGACTAAACCTATTTGCCCGTCCCAAGSCAATTGTCTCCTTTATTGTTTACCGGGTACCTATACACTTTTC